CCGGGCAACAAGCTATAAAGAATGATAGTTCATAATATGTCTGATTTGCATAACAATGAACTGGAGGGGGTGATTGACATTGTTTTATAATAGTGATTTTTACTTTGCCACAGCTAAAATATCATAAACATCAACTATGTTTTAATTGCCATCTGCAGGGTAATTTTCTCAACGTAAAAAAGGTTTTTAGAAGATTTTTATGAACATTTATTTATGGTAGTTTGAGATGTAAATCTAAAATTCAAACAATCCATAAAAGGTTTTCCAGAGAAAATAACATTAGAAAAGAACTTCAAGAAAGCATTTCAGATTTTTATGTTTTAAGGTTCAAAATAAGTGTTAATATTGAACAAATAAAGTTGAAATGGGCAGTAAATTCCTAGTTTAGAGCAACACTTTGGGTAAAAGCCTTGGAGGACTAATTTACAGTGTTTTAAACAGAATGGGTGGCCCTCTAGTTTCATCACCAATAGCTTAAAGAATAAAAACTACAAACTATTTTAATTTCTATGGTACATATTGGTGTATAGAAGACATATTAATACTAGAAATAAATGACCTTATAACACCAACATGTTTTTATTCAATTAGACATTCAATGTTTCACTTTACAGCTTTTTCAAAAACATTCACCAGAACAAATCAAATCTGACAGTACAAAAGCTTCATTTGAAAGCTCACCTGGTGACAAAAAACAGAAGTATTTTGAAATGTTGTCCTTTCCAGCTCAGCTACTTTTGTATGATGTATTGGCAATTGGTTTTATGGAATTTTGTTTGTTCAACAAGAAGACTCTGCCTATATCATGCATAAAAGTATCAATAATCTTTCATATAATATCATGAACACATCATTCAATAAGACGTTAACTAGCTTCTAACCTATTTATTTATCATTTGAACAATTTTCTAGTTTTTTGCAAAATTGTGATATAAAACTAAAGAATATCTTATATAACATGCAGAATAATCCCCACCCACACTTCAAAGGTGGTTACATTCTTTACAATATACAGTTATACTGTGCTACTTACCTAAGATTCTCATCATCCTTGTACCAATCATTGTCGTATGCTGCGTGTACCCAAATGGGATTTGATCTGAGAAGAAGAAAAACATCAGTTGTAACCGTATTACTTGGCAGTCAGTCTTCATGTAATAATTACAAATAAAAAAAATCATGACCAAGTTTACGAACAGAAACTCAGTTTACTTTCTATTATTGTCTCTTAAAAAATGCTGGTCTAATTCATTACCACATAAATACTGTATAGTCTCAACAACAGAAGCTAATCTATTTGTTTGTTTGTTTCAGATATTCACACAAGGTTCAGCACTAGCCATCCCTAACTGTAACTGTTGGGTTACTTGAATTACAATAGTGAAGTAGGATTTGACTATCACTCTTATAACACACACACACACAGTCCCTAAAGCAAACAGCATGATTTTGCAGCAACAGGACACAAAACACAGACCCTTGGATTCACAGTCTGGTACACTAACCACTAGGCCACACCATCCCCTCAGTTTCTTTATGACCACTAAAAACATATCTGTAGAAACCGAGAATTGAATTAGATAGCATGGTTATTTGTATAGACTGCAAGTGGTATAAATAAACATAAAAACTCAATTTCATATACATAGACACACACACAGTTAGTTCTAAAAACTGGTCTGAGTAACATGGTTATTTATTGATATTCACTTAAATAATATAGTCAGTTATATAACCTAGTGTTACTTGATTAAATAATACAATAACAGGGTATCAAGCCATTTTGGACCCACAAATATAGGATATTTCAATGGCTTCCACCACCCCTCACAGCCATTCCTTACCACCTTTTAACTGAATTTACATAAGAAAAGGAAGTAGAAATCATTAATTGTAATAATAAAACTAAAATCAATGAATGATAACTCAATTCATTCTTAGAATCAAAAAGTTACTCTGTTGCAATATGACTTTTAAATTGAAATACATTGCTAATTGATTATAAACAAGTCTAACAAGTAAACCTACACTAAAACAAAATACCTCAAGTTTTCTAATTAGATCTATGACTTACACAATCTGCTTTTTTTTCAATGTTCAAAACATCTCACTACTATTTAGTATCTCTTATTTTTGTAGATGTATTTCCAGCACTGGATGTCTTCTATAGGAAGCTTTTCAAGAGTTGAACTCCTTTTCTCACTATCTTCACTTTTTGAAGATGTATATTTACATTTTGCTTGTTATTCATGTGATCCTAATGACTTACAAAGAAAAAAGACCTGAGTGGCTACCAGTTGATTTCTGCGAGTCTTTTTTTTTTTTTGGGGGGGGGGGGGCACTGACACCTTTTGTCTCTCTGAATCAGAGTGTTTGATGTCAAAATTTTTGTCCAAAATGTTTTCTATAAGTTCTTTTTGCTCTTGTATTTAATCAATGTGTTTGCATATTTTCCTGTCTTACTGGTAGCCTTATTGATCATTAATTAAGTAGTTCAAGTTTTTACCCCCCCCCCCTTAATTGCAATTTTAATTTCCCTCTTTCAAGAGATCATACACAGATGTTAATGTATCATTTGTCTTTCTCTCTTTTTCAGAGAATTGTTTTTCTTTCTCCATTAACATTGTCTTTAGTGCTATAAAGATTTCCCTTTCTCTTTGTCTCTTTTCATCTTCAACCCTTTTTATTTCTATATATATCTTCTTTCCTTTAATTCTTTCTATCTCTCCATATTTATGTTCAATTTACTTGATTGATTGATTTTTTTACTGATGCCATGAAAATATAGAACAAGTCCCTAAATACGGGAAGTTTTAGTCATATGTAAGACAATTCTAAACTTATAAGATTGTAGGACCACTTGACACCCTGCAGGATTATTTGTAAAATCTTGATTAGATCATTTTTTTCATTCAGATTTTGTTAGGAATATTTTGACATAATTAAACAGTTGCTAGTACATTTATCTTTAATAATATAACAATATAAATAAATGTTAGACCTTACTTATTCACAATATTTTGGCTAGAAAACTTTGCAATATAACTAAAACAAAAAGATATATATATACATGTCCAAATAATTAATTTACAAAATTTTTAAATCTTACCCTTCAACTGAGTGTTGGTTTGTGTTGGGAATGTTGATACGGTTGATAGTTGATTCTTGAGATCCTGTGGTTAATGTAAAAATTTTTTTTACTTCGTCGTAAGCAAGAAATACATTAATATACAAAACATATCATCAGAGCAGGCCTTAGCCACTGTAGGGCCCTGAACAAGATACAAAGTGTGGAGTCTTTCATAGTATTCAGCATAAAAAAAAAAGTGACAGAAGCTGTACAACAAAATGATGTTACATTCATTAATGTGTCAACTATATGACGTTTGTGTCTTCATCTTTAAAAATTAGCCATTAAAAATACCTATGCAGGTCCCAATAGCAAGAGGCTCTAGGAAGCTGTTCTGCTTGTCTTGCCTTAAGGTCAGCTATGAATATCATTCCATTTGAACAGAGAAACCTACATTGTATTTTTTAAAACATTTTTGTCTTAATTTCATTTTATTTAAGACTGCCTTTCTAAATTTATTTCACGACATTCAAAAATTGCATTGTTTTCCAAAACAAGAATTCAAGGAACGAGGATATTAACTTACAGTATGAACAATTTATTAAAACATCAAACTGTTTCACACAAATTTTACACTATGTAAAAAGATTTCTTTATTTTTTATTTTACTACCAACATTCTTAACTCCTTAAACCCGAGCAGACGCTGCCAGTCCAACCAAAAATCCCGATTTATCCATCAGACGATGACAGCGTCCGATAACAGTTATATCTTATTGGCTGAAAAATAATCCAAACTATGTTATTATCCACCTTTTATAAATAGACTGAAGATTTTATAAGGTATGGTGATAATTATTAGGACATCGTGAAAATAATTCAGGCAGAAAATTAAAAAAACAAAAAACGTGCGAGTTTAAAGAGTTAAACATTTTATTAATCAAAAAGTTAATGTAAATCACACTGTTTACTTTTTTTTTGACACGGATTATAAGGAATATGAACTGGAGTGATGTATATTCCAAGATAACTAGGTTTACTTACCAAATGCTGTCGCAGTTGCTGCTTTGAGTTGTCTCTCGTATCTGGAATAAAAAAAAATTATTAATTAGTAAAAAACTAATCATAGAAAAAACATGTATTATATCATTAAGATTTAAAACATTCTCTGTACCTCAGTATTACATGTCATATTAAACTAATGTTTTAATAATAAACACAATATGAGGGCCAATGTCAACATTATTAGAAATTACCATTAACTTCTCAACAAAAAGCAAGTACAGATCAAAACCAAAATTGAATGTTGTAATTAATACAGGTAATTTAATAAAACAGGCTAACAAGATTCTGAAATGCCATAAAATGAGTACTTATGCACTGATTCACCAGCTGGGTACACTGGCTGTTAGTGATATTTTCAGTACTGTGTAGCTTTGTGCTTAGTAACAAATTTACAAAACATAAGAAGTAGATGTGTTATTCATGTACTATCCCCAACATCCTATCATATTGTTTCATTTGTAAATATCTTGCTATACCTTAGGAACATTACTGGTAATGGCTGACTGCAGGATATCACTATTTACAAAGAACTGTGGTATTTCTTCACTGATCTCACATGAAAGTAAGTTCTTATATTAATAAAGCTGAATTATGCCTAATATGTCTTACCTCAAAAGAAAATAATAGTTTCTGGATTACTTTTTATTTTTAACACACTTGCTAAGTTTTATATAAAATATATATATATATTTAAATATTGAAATAATGGTGATTATAAAAGAATTTTATTAAAAATAAAGGGATCTATGTTTTATACATTTCTGGTACTAATAAATATGCAGAAATAATGAACGTCTGTTCATTTTAACACTACTAAATCCAATAACTAAACACCCAAGCAATAGAACTGACACTGAACATACCTACTACGCTGGATTAGACACAAGGAGATTACTAACACCAGCATTATAGCCAAGAAGACAGCTAATCCTATCAACCATACCCGCACCTGGTCATCCACACCATCAAGAAGGATGGCTTGTTGAGAGGGCTGAAAACAGATATAAATATGTTTTTATTAAATTGTCTATCTATCAACATGAAAACCTTTCTTTCAGTTAACCTGTCTGTATATATATAAATATAATAGTCCTGTCTGTTATATGTCCATGTAACCTAGTTTGCAGGGTATGGATGGATCTTCACCAAAATTGGTACGGTGGTTCATTAGGTTCATGCAGGAGTACATACAAATTTTCAGTTTTGCAGTTTTTATGAGCATTTTTTACCACAATCTCACCTTCTGTGGATGGATCTTCACCAAAATTGGTATGGTGGTTCATTAGGTCCATGCAGGAGTACATACAAATTTTCAGTTTTGCAGTTTTTATGAGCATTTTTTACCACAATCTCACCTTCTGTGGATGGATCTTCACCAAATTTAGTATGGGGGTTCATTAGGTCCATGGGGAGATACATACAAATTTTCAGTTTTGCAGTTTTTTTAATGAAAGATTATCTTAGGATGTGAAAAGTTGCTTCCCTTATATGTAATTGTAAAGAATGCATAAATGGCCATAAATAGTGTAAAACACAAAATGTGAAACCATAAGTTTGCATGTATCTAAACAAACCTTCATGACAAATTTAGTGAAGATCCATCAATAGGGGGCTGAAGTGAAACTGCAAAACTGAAAATTTATATGTATCTCCCCATGGACCCAATGAACCTCCATACTAAATTTGGTGAAGATCCATCCACAGGAGGTGAGATTGTGGTAAAAATGCTCATTCATGAATTTATATAACTCATCATATACATATATTTTTAAACACACACACACACACATATATTTACATTCTGTGCCTGTTTATCTGTCTGAATGTTGATAACAAAACTTTTCTTCTGGACTCAATGATGAGAAACAAAACAGTAACTTTTGAAGTATTATACTACACATATGAATTCATCAATGGGAGACAAAGGATAGATGCAAAATATTATTTTTACAAGATCTAATTTTGAATCCACAATGGACGATTCAAGAGGAATATGAAAAAAAATATATCTGCAGTTAACACGATTTGATCACAAATTTTAGACTTACTGTTTTTTAATGCTTCACCATCTTTTGGTATTTAACTTGTAACTTTTTAGAATTTTTCACTATTAAAATAGTCCACCTATCCCATAAATGACTATCATTTAAAGTACAAGCTTAGTTTGAAATTTACCTAATACATATAATTATTATTTCTTTAGTGTTGTATTGAATGTTAACACAAAGCCTTTGCAGTACCTGATTAATGAATCAGTAACTCACTCACTTTAACATATTAAAAAACTTTACATGACTCTATAAAGGGCAGTTAGGTACCCTAATTGTCTTTCTTCTAGAATATTCTGCAACATTCTTGTTAGGACAACATCATTTGTGATCTAAAAGAAAATCCTATCCCAATCAAAATATCAATGTAAGTGAAAAATGAAACATTAACAAAACCTACTGTCCAAGCCTAAAACACAAGTTTAAAATAACTATAATACAATCTATGTTTCCAGAATACTATTTTATTATAACTTGATATCTTATGGCTCCTTTGGGACTTTTATCCAACAACTATTAGAATACAGTTCAATTAAATATTAAATGATATATAAGTAGTATTCAAAAACAACACAATATCTTCTAAAATACATTATAATTTAGTATAATAAGCCTTGAAGCATACAGACAATCCACCTAGCGACAACACAAAATTAAGTTTCTGCACCTAGCCAGGTAGAACAAATATAAAGTCATAATGAAGTTAAATGCAAACATTATGTTAAGCTTTAGAATTCAGTAGTTACAAGTTACATTAAGCTAAACTTACCTCACTATACAACACATTAAACTCCTTGAAAAGCTCGTCCAAAAATTCAATGTTTTTGTCAATAAGCCTGTAGAGAAACGGTATTTATACTTTAAAAAATTAAAATAAAATAGCTAAATCTTTTTTTTTAATGATATCATGAATGTAGTTCTAAGTATAATTTCTGCTACATTTGTTTAAATCTTTTCAACATTTCTCATTTGTGTTATGCAAAATGAAAAGTATATTATTGGGCAAACAAAATTAGAAAAATAATCTGACACTGGTAGCATAATAGACTAGCAATAATATAATGTTTTTAACAACATTAAATTCATCGGATAGGTTGGGCTAGTAGTATAATCATAAGTAAGCAACAATTGAATAACAAGTTATGAACTGTTGAACAACAGGCTAACAACTCAAGAATGATAAGCTCAAAACTGTAGAATAACAGGTTAACAAAAGTACAAGGGTGGGTTAATAATAATATGAACAATAATGGAATGATATAATAAAAATAGTGCAATTATGGGCTTAAAACAACAAAGTACTAAGCCAATAATATCAGAATGATGAGCTAAAAAACAGCATAAATGATGGGCTAACAGTAGCAAAATGATGAGCTTACAGCGCTATCAAAGCAACTTAAAATACAAACTTCATTTTTCTCAAGTAACAAAATATTTTATCAGTCAAATCCAGCTGAATTTTAATTTGGTAATCTCTCAAAAATAAACTATTTTGTTCAATCAAAATGCACACGAATATAAAGAACTTACGATAAGACAGTAGTGACTTCCATTATGGTATTATCTTCTTTATTCACAAAATGAAGGTACAAGTCACTCCTGAGAAGTATAAAAAACAAGGGGTATTATTGACTAGTGAAACACTTCCAATAAAATATTGGTTTTGTTTATTGGATTAACTCATAACAATGATACATGCTATAACATATAGTGTCAAACAAAATTGTTTACAAAAGCCACAAGTCTGACTATTGATTTTCTCATAAATTTTGATCAAGTAATATAAATAGGAATAATTTTATGGCACTGGATAAATATTTTTTGTTAATTAATAAGACTTCAGTAGCATTTAACTCAGTATTTCCCAACTTGGGAGACATGCTCCCCTTGGGTGCACCCACACTTTACAGGGGGTCTGCCAGACTTAACTCTGTGTGTGTATACACAGACACATTTTAACTTATATATATATATTGCGAACTGTGGAGTCTGTCCAAGTGTTCGTCTGTCTGCCATATGAAAAGCTGTGCACGCAGACAAAGCTGAACATTCACTCTTGAAATAACGGAAGAACAGGCATGAATAATGTTCATGCCAAATTTTATTTCGCAAGCAGGATATTCTACACTAAAATGTTAGGAATTAATCACACTATCATTCACATTTCAAAATGAGATGTAACTTAAAGAATAAAAATGTATAATTTACCATGCATTATTGTTGAGCAGCTCTAAGCATGACTGAAATGCTAAACAATTACTTTACGCAGTGGGTGGTATACGTAGCTCAAAGTGAAAACCAAGAGTGCAACACAATTAACCTTTTAAAAGTCCATGAAATAATTCAAATTGATAGATTTAACTTTTCCTATCACTGGGAGTGGGTACATTTGCTTGTATATACATATATGAGATGGAGTAGGAGCACATATTGTATACAGCAGGCAAAAGGGGGCTTCAGGCCAAAATGGTTGGGGACCATTGATTTAATTAACTGTACTTTGTAAGAAGTGCTCTTATTACTCTGCTATACAAAACACTGCCAACATTTTAGTTACTGTTAGAGCATTGGAAAATTAAACAACAATTTAGTACATTGAAAGTATTAAAAAGTAAAACAAGGTGTAAAACATAACATTTAAGAACAATAATGGATGTGTTGGTTCATCAAAGAATATCCCATCCACTTTGAAAACAAAAAAAACTTGTTTTTGCTATGATTAATCTTGGACTCAAAATTCATCCTAAAAACACCACCTGGAAGAAAACTGATTTTTATTTAGAAAAACTGGATAAGTCATTGTTGTACAACTTACTTCTTTTTGTCTACAGAACCATCTTGGTTTTCGTGAAACTTGTATTCATCAACATTAACAATGGCTCCCGTTATGTTAGCCAAGACTCTGAGGGAAGAGGATAAATTAAAACACAGCTACAAGGCTTGAAAACATCATGAATAAGAGTTAGAAATATTGTTTCTATTATTGATATTAATCAATATTTAGCTTCTGTTATTAATATGAATCATTGCTTAGTATCTGTTAATCAATATAATTTTTCTGTAATGATTTTAGTGAGTATTTAGTAACGTTAAATAATATTAACCAATATTCAGTCTAATATAATTGATCAGTATTTAGTATCTGTTATTGACATAAATGAGTTTTTAATTGTTTGACAATACCAGCCACAACTGTTGTTTTATTCATAACAACTAGTTTGTTGAGCAGTTTTAATTTTTTGACAATACCAGCCACAACTGTTGTTTTATTCATAACAACTAGTCTGTTAAGCAGTTTTAATTTTTTTGACAATACCAGCCACAACTGTTGTTTTATTCATAACAACTAGTTTGTTGAGCAGTTTTAATTTTTTGACAATACCAGCCACAACTGTTGTTTTATTCATAACAACTAGTTTGTTGAGCAGTTTTAATTTTTTGATAATACCAGCTACCACTGTTGTTTTATTCATAAGAACTAGTCTGTTAAGCAGTTTTAATTTTTTGATAATACCAGCTACCACTGTTGATTCATTCATAACAACTAGTCTGTTAAGCAGTTTTAATTTTTTGATAATACCAGCTACTACTGTTGTTTTATTCATAACAACTAATCTGTAAAGCAGTTTTAATTTTTTTGACAATACCAGCCACTACTGTTGTTTTATTCATAACAACTAGTCTGTTGAGCAGTTTTAAATTATATTATTGATCTAACGTCATAAATTATCTTTTTCTCTGTACCATCTAGACTGGCAATAAGTATCTTCTGACTATAAAGATAACATAACAAATGTAAGTCTAACTTTTTGAAACAAATAATCAAATCCTTATCCAAGTTAATCACTTCAGTGGAAAAACCAACTTATAATAGGTATAATGAGAACTGTACTCACTCTCTGAATCTCTCTAGCCTCTCCCTAATTTCTTCTGGCGTTAACCGCAGCACAAACCGAACTTTCTGGTCCTCTCTCAGTAAGTAAATCTAAACAAATGTTTCATCATTAATTAAATCATGCACAAACATGTTTCCAATGGTAGAATAGAAATAAAAATAATCTGATAGATTGAAACTAAGCCACTTCCCAATCATTATTCAACAGTTATATAATAAATAAACAATATGTCTCACATACAAATGTTTATAGAGTAATTCAAGTTAAGGAACGTTAACAGATGAAGTGCTTCTCACAAAAATGGTTACAAATTATGCAAGGTATTTTGTTAACAATATGTTACTATATATAAAATAATCAATTGTTTGGTTTAATGAAATATTCCTTAACCTAAAATATAACATTTCGGCAACTTACAAAAACCCTTGCAGTATCAGATAATCCATCAGTGTCGTTCACCTTCACCTGAAAGTCAAAGTAGCCCTTCATTCCTCTCTGAGGGTCAAAGTTCAAAACGATTTCTCCAGTTTTTTGGTTGAGGAGAAATGGAGGACCTTTGATGGATTCTAGTCCCTCAGACAGTGTCAGCTGGATTTTCCCCAATATGTAGTAGTGTACTACACTATGTATACCAATATCTGCATCTACTGCCTGTAACATACGTAAGAACCATTATTTTGCAGCCGTCTTCCTCAACTAGTAAGAAACAAACTGGAGTGAAAGAAATGCATCTGGTAAACAAGACGGAATAACTACACTAATAACAAATGTGAATAATCATTGAAACTTATGGTAAAGAGCTAAAACCTGATAACCTTTATCCTCATAATTTCCTTGTTTTAACTTTCAAAGTTACCAAACTAATATAAGCTAAGACTTGATAACATTTATCCTAACAATTCCTTTGCTCAAATGTATTTTACTGCATTAAAATAATGTAATATTTTGGGATAACATGGGACCTATTGGTCCATCTCAACTGTTTCATCATCTAGACTAAATTAAAATAACTAAAAAGAAAAAAATATTAAAGCCAGCCCTTGTCATTCATATACCTATCAAGTGTTTTCTTAAACTCACTTAAATTTACTGCCTCTACAACATCCAAAGGCAACCCATTCCAAAGGCCAACCACCCTGTTAGAAAAATAAAACTGTCTTAGCTGAAGATAACTCTTACCTTGCCAAAATATATATTTGTGTCTCTTAGTCCTACTGTTCTGACTGTTAAATATAAAGAAAGATGATGCATCAACACTATCAATTAATTCCCTTTACAATCTTAAACACCTCAATAAGATTCCCTCTTAAAAACAATTTGAGAGATTTCAGCCTTTCCTCATATGATAATCCCTCCATCCCAGGCACCAAACTAGTAACCCTTCTCTAAACCCTTTCCATTAATTCACATGGCCAAGTGGTTAGGGTGCTTGACTAGCAATCTGCGGGTTCAAATACCCGTCACACCAAACATGCTCACCCTTTCATCCGTAGGGGCATTATAATGTGACAGTCAATCCCACTATTCATTGGTAAAAGAGTAGCCCAAGAGTTGGCAGTGGGTGGTAATGACTAGCTGCCTTCCCTCTAGTCTTACACTGCTAAATTAGGGACAGCTAGCGCAGATAGCCCTCGTGTAGCTTTGTGCGAAATTCATAACAATCCAATAATTCAATGCCTTTCCTAAGGTAAGGAGCCCAAATCTTGAACAAAATATTCCAAATGTGGCCTAACCAGTGACCTGTACAATGAAATTATATCCTCTTTAAACTTGTATCCAATATTTCTGTAGATACAATCTAAAATCCTATTTGCCCTACCACTAGCAACAGCACACTGCTTGGATGGCTTTAGAGCCTGATCGACTATTACACCAAGATCCCTTTCCTTTATAACACTATTAAGGTTATTCCCATCCAAATTATACTTATAATTCAAAGTATGATAACCCACATGCATTATCTTGTATTTATTATAACTAAAATCTATCTGCCATATATTTGCCCAACTAACTAAATGATCTGAGTACTTATGTAAATCAGCAGCATCCTCTTCACAGCTTGCAATACCCAAGACCTTAATATCATCTGAAAATGTAAGTAATTTATTGACTATTCCTTCATCTATGTCATTGATGTAAATCAAAAAGAGCAAAGGTTCCTAGACCGAGCCCTGAGAGGTAACCCACTTGTGATATCAATCCAGTTTAACTGAACTCCATTTGTAACAACCCTCTGCTTTCTTCCATCCAGCCACTATTTTATCCAATTTCCCCACACATATAGAGATATTTTTTTTACAAGCCTTTTATGTGGCACCTTGTCAAATGCTTTCTAAAAATCCAGATACACCAAATATACACCCTTATCTTCATCTACATAAGCAGTGAACTTTTCAAACAATTTGTAAGGCAAAATTTTCCCTTA